CATGGTCCCTTTTCAAAAATAATTTAATAAATAAATAAAAAATTAGAGTTTTGAAGATGAATCACAATCTAATGGGTTTAGAATGACACGTAGGTGAGTAACTTATGACAGAATTTTCATTTTTGGGTGACCTTGTAAATATAATTTGGTCCGTGGAGGCACATGCATAAAACAAATACATTTTGGATTTCAGGCGAACATTTTTTTCCATTTTGTCACCATTGTGCGCCCCTTTTCCTCTGTCTCTCAGTAGAACAATTTCCGTGCCTGTAAAAAAACCCCCACAAAATTAAAAATAACACAACCAAATGTGTCAAATTCTTACACAACATCATATCTTAACCAAACACAAAGACACTCAGTGTTATCTCTTCCATGTTAATCTGAGGAAACCATGTTGATCTACACCAGTTCTGGTCTGGACAGTCATGTAGATGGTGTCTATTCTGCATCTCCTCTAATTCACTAGGCTGTGAGACAGAGGCAACAGGCTGAACAGGAGGTGCAAGAGAGCTATGCACTCTTACAGGGAGAAAAGGAGCAGGTGGCTACTTTGCAGACCACTGCACATCGGCTGCAGGGAGAGAAAGCTGAACTGGAGAGGACACTGCTCTGTCTGGAAAAAGACAGGTCCTCTCTAAAGCGTACCCTGGAGAAGGTACATGTCATGCTGTTATAAATAGCATACACAGTCAAACATAATGACTTTCAAATAGTTTGTTGTTTATGTCATAGACTATGATGTTTCATTTGTGCAAACTAATCAGAGTGTCTTGTCTGTACCCTTAACTACTCTTAGTATTATTGGTTGAGGTACGTTTGCATGAGAGTTTGTTTTGGAGTGTTTGTGTGTATTTGCTATTGACTTGTCTATCTTGTCTGTATAAGTGAAACATAAAATGATCCTCCTACATAAATGTACAGCATGTGACAGTATCTCACACCAGATTTCGATCGTTGATACATTTTGTGTGCATGCGTGTGTTGTGTGCAGGTAGAAAAGAATCGCCAAAGGAAGGTGGTGGAGGTACTGCATGCTGAGCATGAGAGAGAACAGCAAGAACAAAAGATCCGAAATCTAGAGCAAGATTTAAGCGAGACACAGACCGAAATTCACACACTACAGGTGATAGAGATACATACGAATATTATGAATTTTATAATACATGGATCAGCATCTAGTACCCTCGCCGTTTGAAATCTAATCATAATAATATAAATTGGTCCCATCCCTAAAATCGCTGGGATAGACTCCCCACGGCTGTACAGGCAAGCCGTTTAAAAAGGATAGATGGATTACAGAAAAAATATTGCATTACATTAATAATAATAATAATGTATTAATGCTAATTAATGTATTAATGCTAAATTAAGCATTGTATTAATGCTAGATTCATTTTCTGAATAAAATGCGATTGGTTATTGGTCCCAAGTAAACAAACAAGCCCATTTAAAGTCGAATTGCTTTGAAAAGTATAGAAACGGATGTATACAGGCATATTCATGTCTGTAGCCCAAACTTTGTAAAACAAGATTACTTCTCAGGGCCAGGAGTTTATTTATTTATATAGGGATTTACTTTAGTGAGCAGTAGTAAAAGTGTTTAAGAAGCACCACTAATAATAATACAAAAATGAGTCATGTGATTCGTCTGTGACAGGATGTTATGTGTTGTCTCTGCAGTCACAAATCTCTATCTTGGAGCAGACTCACTCCCAGAGGCTCCTGGAAGTGACGGCTCGCCACAGGGAAGAGCTGGACCTGGAGACAGAGCGGATGAGGGACTCCCAGCAACAGGCAGAGAGAGCACTGGCGGCCCGAGAGAAAGCTCACCGCCAGAGGGTCCACTGCTTGGAGGAACAGGTTTGAGAAAGCTGTAAAAATGTGATGGATTGTAATGGTGACATCTACATCACATTCAACAGCTAGACACCTTTAATGAATACTTAACTGCTTTGCAATAACTGCTGTGTGTTTCTCAGGTTTGCACACTGAAAGAACAGTTGGAGCAGGAGATGAAGAGGAGGCAAGCATATATGAAGCAGATGCTGAGATTGGGGCTCTAAAAACTGTAATGACTTGGGAATTCAGCCCACGGTGACCAACTGACAGCTTTTTGTTACCAAACATGTTTGTAGTCTCTCAAAGGCCTATAACCAACGAAACAGGGCCTGTGCTAACATGGATGGACTACTGCATACTGAAATGTAACACACATATACTTCACACACGCACTTTAGATTTAAAAACACACAGAATCACTGGTCTCAGAGAGAACTGTTGGACTGCATTTGCACAAAAACTTTAAGTAATCCTGATCCACACCATAAGAACCCAATAACAACAAACAAAGAGATCACTGTTTCACCAAATGCTTCTCAATTGCCAAATTGTTTTAAGGATTTGTGCAGCAAACTGTTGAAACAGACCATAAATCTACTTAAAGTCTATCCCTGTTCATCTTAGAGTATTAAGTAGTGCTGGGTGGTATTCCAGTTCATACCGAATACCGGTGTTTATTTTTGTTATGATATGAATTTTTAAAATACCGCAATACCGGTATATCGCTTAAACAACGTTCGGACCGCTACACTGTTTGAAAGGGGTCCCTTTTCACTGCTGCACTGTGGTGAGGGAACAGCTGTATGTGTTACTAAGCGTGAAAGTTCCGAAACTGAAGCTGTAGAACTAATAGAACGTGATGACACAGAAGAACTCATCCACAATATCCACATTGACCGCCGGGCCCTGCCATCAGCTCCCGCATCTCACACACACGAGCGACTAGCAACTTTCAGACCCTTTTAGCGGCTTTTTTCCATAGAATATTCATACTGACAAACCTAGTGACTTTTTTGGATAAACCTTAGCTATGGTTCAGTTGGAAGACTTCGCCAGTGCTGTCCAGCGAGCGCGAGGTCTGACTTTCCCGGAGAAGTGTCACCTCTCTCGGCGTCTGTTCTGTGCAGTGAGCGGCAGAGAAGTAGTGCATTCAGTTGGCCGCACCGCAGCCGACTCTTCAATAAATGAGTACAAAACAGCGTTTCTTTGCACCTGTCGCTTACTTATTGTTTGGAATTATAAATATGAGCGTACTTCGTCTGTTAATATCACATGCACTTTTTTGTTTGTTGTTTTGTTATAGTTTGTTACTCAGACGCAGGCAGTGCGCTGCATGAGACAAAAAAGTAATATAGCCAAAACAACCGCATAGCCGCTCTTTAGTGTAGATGCATGTTGATTTTATCAGACGATGCCGCAATTATAAATGAGAGTGACTCCTGTATAACATGTATTAAAAGGGGTCGTGTTTAGTCACTATTTAGTGTGGTATTTTTTGACAATATTCACTCATCATGACAGTAAAATAGGGCATTCTAAGTCAATATACTGCAGTATTTCCTCTCTCAATCAGTAGAAAATATGGTTAACACCCAGTCATGCATGGAAAAAAAAAATACCGCCATGTACCGTGAAACCGGTATAATTTTGAAAAATACCGTGATATACATTTTTGGTCATACCGCCCAGCACTATCATTAAGCACAATCTCAACATCACACACATTTAAAGATCTGTACCTACATTAAATATTTCACCCTAGGTCCCCTAAACTGTTTAGCAAACCACACAATTATTCTCTCTTTTCTTTTTTATAACTTGCTACTCTGTAACTGACATGATTGTTATGATCATTATTTTTAAATAACACAACCATTTAGAGAATAAGATCATCTTGTTTCAGTTAGTACCAATCAGCTAAATTACCGCTAGAGTGAATCAGGACAGAAATTGAATCATATATCTTATCTATAAATGTTGTTTTCATATTAATATTTCCATATGATGTTTCTCTTATTATGGGTGTTAAAACAATTTCTAATTCATAATCACTACTGTGTTACAGGCTATTCCATGTAATAACTATTAGAAAACTAGTCATTTTTATGAGTCAATAAAACCATACAAACAAGAAAAATAACAATGAGATTGATTTTTGTGGTCTAAAGAATTGTTGTCAGTTGGCTTTGGTGTATTTTGGATAATTGCTGTAGTTTATGATGTGTGCAAATAAGCTATAACTACCTATAAAATAATCTTTGTGATGTTCTCCCTCCAAGATTTGATATCCGCCACTAATGACCCCCTGGTTAAAAAGAATCTCATTTTATTTTAAAAATTAAAATACATTGTATGGGTCAAAATTATTGATTTTTCTTTTATGCCAAAAATCATTAGGATATTAAGTAAAGATCATGTTCCATGAAGATATTTTGTAAATGTCCTACTGTAAATATATTCAAACTTAATTTTTGATTAGTAATATGCATCGCTAAGGACTTCATTTGGACAACTTTAAAGGCGATTTTCTCAATATTTAGATTTTTTGCACCCTCAGATTCCAGATTTTCAAATAGTTGTATCTCGGCCAAATATTGTCCTATTGTAACAAACCATACATCAATGGAAAGCTTATTTGTTCAGCTCCCATTTGATGTATAAATCTCAATTTCAAAAAATGTATCCTTTTATGACTGGTTTTGTGGTCCTGGGTCACATATTTGAAATCTTGCCTTGTATGGTTAATTTAGGGGAAAATTGATTTTCAGAGAGTAAGAAATCTTTCAGTAAATCTCTAGTTCAAACCAAAGGGCTTTTGTATATTTTCCTCCTTTTGAACAGACATCTTGTGTATAGTATACAAAGAATGCACTATGTATGCATCATATGAAATCCCAACTCTTACACTGCCATGTGGTAGTGTGTACCACACTGAGACATGTTCCTGTGGGGAAGGGTATTTCTCAGCAAAAGTTGAGAGCAGAGGAGAGTGCCCTGTCAGAGTCTCTTTAAAGCAGCCCTTTGATTACCATAGCTCCACCCAGTGCTTATCCAGTTACCGGTCTCTCCTCAGCTATTGGATGAGTGTTCTAATGCAAGGTAGTGAATCCCTGGAGGGGTGGGGCTGGGTCTGAAAGAACTCCTTTGGCAGGCAGAATAGAGGTTTTATCGAGGATATTGCTAACCATCAGGGACCAAGTCACTGGATCGTAAAAAAAAAAAAAAAAATGAGCCGAATCACTCTGCTCCCTTGCCTTTTTTTCTCTCTCACTCTGTTCATTTCAGTGAGCGGCACGGAGAACAGCAGCTCTTGAGCACCCAGCAGCACACAGAATGCAAGGAATCTACCCCCTTGTTACAGACCAACAGCCGAAGTACCAGGGCTGAGAGAAGATCTGAGAGGAAACAAAGGGTGGAATTAGAAACCAAACAAGGAGAAGAAAGACAAGGAGGATCATTGGTTGAGCATTTGGCACTGGGGTTTAAAGTTGTCTTGTTGCCCTCTCTGAGTGTCCTGGATCATATAGTCCTCTCCTCTCCATCCCTGTGCAGACAAGGTCATGGGGTGGCTGAGGAGACTGGTGCTCTCCATGTGCATGCTTCTCATTTTGCTTCATGGCGTGGAGCCGGCTGTACCCCTGCAGGAGTTCTACCCATTTAGTCTGGATGAGGGTGACTCCCAGACCATCGAGCAAGATGATGGGGGTTCAGGACTGGTAGCAATCTCTGTGGCTTTCCCTTTCTTCGGAGAACGGCACACGGGACTCTATGTGAGTATAGATTGTATGTTTAAAAGTGTGTGAGTCTTGTGCAGGAGAATCAGGTATTTCATTCAGTAGCTTAATTGGTTTGTGTATGTGTCTTTGAGGGAAACAGAGCCAGGTCTTACAACTTGAGATTGGATAATGAACCTCACAGTTTTAACATGTCACATACGGCCACACAGTGACTGAACTACTGGATGTTTTTTAGATGACAGTCTATATTGCTGCTGCAACATATCCGCTTAAACTGTGGTTTGAGAGCGTGAGGGGGAGAGAAGAAATGAGAAGGATGGAAGAGATCCAGTGATAGAAAACGTGTGTGGCGAGTGGTCTGACAGGTCTCGGTGCTTTGATCAGCTGTGTCCTGCTTTTGGTTGGACGAGTGGGGCTTTGATCTGTGTCTTGTACACTTTTCAACCTCAGTGCAGAGGAAGCTCCATCCTCGTAAATCGACACAATCTGTTTTGATGCAGCATCCCAGTCATATTGCCTCCCAAAATATGCTGCTCCACCCAGGGCACCCATCTTTACTACCAAATTTCCATCCCCAACACCCTGCCCAGCTTGACTGAGGTACCATGGCAACAGAGGCTAGGTTTCCAGACTGGGCTACAAGCGAATGGATGAATGAGATCACAATCCCAATGCAGCAGACGACTGACAGAGCAGACATGCCACACAATCAGTCTCTCTCTCAGCCACTACATGGCATTCAAACAACTGTGCCCTAACAAATTTGAGGTGCAATATTGTGTTTCCTATTTTAAAGTTATGAAGTCTGGCAAATGCAGCTGGCTTAAATAGTACATGGTTGTCTACAGAACTTGTGATGCATCTGCTCGTTACCCTGAGTGGTATCTCATATCTCAGAGCACAATGTAAATATTAATGTGAATTGAAGACAAGATAAGACCTGCTGTGGATAGCAGTGAAGATCTAAAATTAGATTACCTCAATGTGATAGAGCAGAAGACGACTGGAGGTACAGTTGGGTGGTACAGAAAGGGTGCACCAAGTACAAACTGGGAGGTAACTGCAGGTCGATCAGAGTAAGATTTTGCAAGTCTCTGGTGCATTGAGGCATGCGACAGCATTAAAACGGCAGTCATAATTTCTGTATTGCACTCAAGCTGCTTGAACCAAAATCAGTTACACTTCAGCTTTATTGCACGCTATAGCCACATGTTGATCTCTTCCTCAAGGGAGCTGCTTTTGAACAGGTGAGATTTTGGAGAGTACACAAGGGAAGATCCTCACGGATAATTTATTCCAGGAGGGCATTCCAAGCCTTCCGGCCTTGAAAAAACAGAAAAGCTCTTGAACCAAACAATTTGAGGTGGTTCTTGAGAGTTGTCTCAGGGTATTACTGTAAGAGCTTCCCTAAAGCGAAAAGAAGGATCAGTACCGCCTGCTATTGCATATTTAACTTTCTGACCTACTCTTTCTGTCCACCCCCAGTCATCTTTCTCACTTTTTATCATTCACTCCCTCTTCACGATAATTTGAATACCATTTATAATATTATAACTAACTCAAAAATACTCAGCTCTGCCTCAGCTTTAAGCATGACTTTCAAGCATGGTATTTTTTATTGTGAAAGTAGGGATTTGTTCACTTCTTGACAACTATTTGCCCATTGTTTTTCCCTCAAAAAACGAATTCTTTCAGTTTTAACAAGAAACGTTTATTAGATTGAAAAAAATTGTATAAAAATATTGCTCTATGCTCTATTATGTATATTTGAGTCTCACTGCCAGGAATTATGAAAGCAGGTTCTTTGCCATTCAGGACTTCCAGGGATGGTCATAGTGCCACAGTGATATGTGCTCTCTGCTTGACATTTTATCATCCCAGAATTGTCCAAAATGTGTTTTTTCTTGTTCCACAATTCTGTTCTTTTGTTTGGGTCTGAGAGATTTCACATGTAGCTCCTCTCTCCCCTCATTTACCCTCACCCTTCCCTCATCCTCCTCTTCTTCAGTCTCAGATAACGAGTTCAGGGGTCTTCCCAATGGACCTCTCCAGCTGCTATATCAAAGAAAGGAGAGATCCATTTAACAGAACCCAGATGCATCGGTAAAGTGTCTCAGGGATGCCAAACAATGCAAGCCCTCAATTAACTAACCTTATGAATGACTGGGATGAAGAGCAGAAAGGATGAAATCCAAGGCTAGCACGACACAGACTTCCACAGCAAATGCAAAAAAAACTGAAAGTTTGAAATTATTTTGAATGAAACTGGTGTAAGTTCTGATGGGGAACAGAACACCATAACTGATTTTCGGGGACCTCAAGTTAAGAAACCGCCCAACAAGTTGTTTGTATGGGAAGTTATAAAAACGATGTTTATAATTGTTTTAGGCATAGAATTGTTCATTCAACAGTTGAGTTAAAGCAGAATAGGGAAAATGATGGGGACAGAAAGATTTGAGGTTTCACGGCACACTGAGAAAACATCTGCTAAAGCTCATCCTCAGCACTTCAACACTTCATGTTTGCGCAACTATAGAAAGGGAATCTTCAACCTTGAGGGATTTTTCTCTTTATCTCTTTCTCTGTCTATCCTCTTTGCTTCTCTCCTCCTCCTCCTTTTCACTTAAGTAGCCCAAATATTAGCTAAGTGTGTGAGGACATATGTGTGATTTTGTTAAGAGCTTGGTAGCTTAGCATGTAATGCTTTATATCACGATAAGTCATATGTTATGCTAAGCTTTGAGCTAATATTTGGACTTAATTAAATAGGGGCAGCCACTGAAATCAGTTTTCCTATACTGGACTTAAGTTATTTTTCCAAGAATAGTAAAAATCTTTGTGTATTATTATAAGATATGAATGAGTGCAGTGCTATACAGAGGGTCATGGTTTGGCATTCTGTGGAATGCCAGTCACGATAAAGATGCCCACCACAGCCGCACAAGGGCGTGGAGCAAGAGGAGCCAAGGTCAAACATACAAACACATCCATTTCAGCTTTTTCCTCAATTTACTAAGAGCAAGTAAAAGATTCAATGTTTTGCCAAGCTAAACTTTGGTCAGTTTTTATGAAGGGATTTGTTTTAGCATCCTTTTCCCCAGGTGAACATTTATTTTAGTATTAAAATTACTTAGCTTCAAAGAAAACCATCCTATGAAAACTTGTGATATATCTGGTGAAGAATAACAGAAAAATAACTTTGTCACAGAAGTGACACCTAAACACATTGCTTTACTTATATACTTATCAATTATTTTGTAATTAATGACGGCATGTTTACGCATGTTGTCCACTTCATCAAAGCTCCCCCCCCCCCAGTTTTACAGTTTACACCTGACTGAATTTTACATCCCAGATAGCTTACAGTACCTGTTTATACTAGGCTATGATTGTTTTATTCACTTTTAGTCAGTGGTTAGATCCAATTACTCCATCCTACTTTTAATAAGATATTAGGACTTGGAAGAAAAGCAGCAAGTTTAACCTCTTCCAGATGCTGCAAATAGATCAGAACAAATGCCAGGACATATTACAGCACCAGAGAATAATAACTAATGTAGTGCTTAGTGAGATTTCCGCTGCTAATTTAGCAGCAAGGTAAGCAATTTCCATTCATTACCTCGGCAAACAGTTGCTACTAGCTCTCCAATGCTTGCTCCGGTCAAAACACTGTACCTATTGGCTGTACAACTTTATTTTCCCAGTTTACTGCTTATATCATTAGCATGCAACAGTTTAGTACTGCAGCCCATTCTCAAGAGTTTTGGTCATCTGTAAAACATTTACTCTAAATCACACTTTGGTTCCTGTCAAGGGTTTGTATCTGTCAGTGAACTGTGCCTGCACTTTCCATCCCTCCATCTTTCCACCTCTCCCGCTTCTCTCTCTTTGTCTTTTCTTGCATTCTCCTGCTCTCACAGGGCTCCTTTCAATGACCCCAGAGTTGTGGCCCTGCAGGCTTTACTCCACTTCTCCATGTTAACCACATTCTTGCCACAGCACGCTGATGCAGAGAGGGGAAGACTGCGGTCGGCCAATTAACCAAGCACCCGAGTCAGGCCAAACAAAACTTCCTCTACTGTTTTTACAGCAAAGGCCTCAGAATTATGGTTTCCATACGCATGGGGAGGGGAGAAGAAAGGCCATGTGTCTGACATTGCCTTTGTTGCTGTTGCTGCTGCCAGAACTGGGTAGAGATGAGTGAAATGATGGGACAGGGAAGTTGGCACTGGGGAGCGAACACCTGGAGAGGGGTGTGACTGTGCAGGTGCAAACTGACTAGCATAAGTTAGCATTAGACACACTCTCTCATTGTTGCTCTGTGCTGTGACAATCTGATATGGGGCAGATAGGTGATTGATAGTATTTTTCTAATAAAACTCAGTTTGGATGAGTCACAGTTTAGAAAGGGTTTCTAATTTCCAGTCTGTCCACAGGAGAACTATTGAGGAAAGTTTGTTGCAAAACCTACACTTAAATAATGAAGCAGAAAGCTATGGAATAATTTCACACACCCCTGTTGGCCTGTTTAGTGAATTTGCATGCATATTCATATCAGTTGGATAACACTGTGCCCCTGTGAATACTCTAAGGTTTCTTCTACATCAGCCTGGCTGGACATTCATCACAAGAGTAGGCTCAGTCAACAGAGCAAAGCCAGTGGTCAGCAAATCAAGTGTTGGGATCTGTGGTTACTTTAGAGGCAGTTATAAAGGCATCGCCCTCTAAAACCACATCTAGTGGACAAGAGCCAGGGCAGGTGTGTCAGAATGCGTATGTGTGTCTGTAAAGTGCTCCGGTTTTCTCAGCTGTAAGACATGGATGTCTGGCAGAACAAGGCAGCTGTCTGTTCCCTGATGGGAAATAAATACATCTGCCACAGGAGCCTGCCTCACTCTTTCATCCTGCAATGCTGCTGCTCACTCTCATGTGTCAACATACTGCTGGACACCTCAGCCTGTTTCCACTTATTCCCAGTCAGCATGTTTCATACATCATAGCCATCCGATTACTGTTCCAGGCCATTCGCAATATCTACTACAAGAGTCACTACAAGAAACTGAATTGTGCTAAAGTTCTTATAAAATCATTTGATTTGTGTTGGTCTACGACTTCTTGACTCTGCATTACTCCTGAGTGAACCAACCCAGTCTCTGTCGTCAGGTATACTTGAGTGTGGAAAGAATTTCATGGAGATGAAATATGTTATTTGTGCAACTCAGAAAGTGAATGTCCAAACATGCAGCTCATGGTGTGGTTAAGCTTCAGCAGTGGAATCTGGGAATGAGTGCCAGGAAGGTGTGCTGAAGGGAAGCTTTGTGTCCTGACTCTGCTAACCCTGCACATGTACTTGCTCTTCTTTTCTGTATCTTCAAGGTCAACAACAATGGCCTGGTGTCTTTCCTGAGGGAGGTGTCCCAGTTCACCCCAGTGGCTTTCCCTATTGCTGGAGACCGCAGGGTGGTGGCTCCATTCTGGGCAGATGTAGACAACCGACGGGCAGGAAAAGTTTTCTATCGAGAAAGCAAAGATCCTGCCATCCTGAGAAGAGCAACTGCAGACATTAATCGTTACTTCCCTGAGTTCCCTATGTTTGTCACTACATGGGTGCTGATTGCTACCTGGCATCAAGTCACATTTTTTGGTGGCAGCTCAATAACTCCGGTACCAAGTTCATGTCCTTAAAACTAACAAAACCAATGGGATTTGTATTATGTTTCCTTTTAACACAGGGTTTCTCAGGTCTGGCCCTCAAGGTCCACTGTCTAGCAGAGTTTATCCTTGATCAAAATTAAACTCTGAATGTCAGTGGACCTCAAGGGCCAATGTTGAGAATTTCTGATCTAACAAGTAAATGAAAATTATGAATACTGGTTGTGGTAACTGACTTGTTCTCTGCTCTTCTCTAAAGGTCAATACATTTCAAGTAGTTCTCATCACAGATGGTGAGCTCTCTTTCACCATCTTCCAGTACCACAATATTTCTTGGACAACAGGGATGCATGCCACCAGTGGTGGTGACCTAGCAGGCTTGGGGGGCATAGCTGCACAGGTAAGGTCATTGCCTTTACTCACATTGGTTTTTAGTTTTGACTGAAATTACTTCAGTGACATTAAAATGTGAAAGAATCCACTCTGAGAGAACACTCCCCCACTTTCACTCTCTTCCTAGGCAGGTTTTAATGCTGGCGATGGGAGGCGCTATTTCAACATACCAGGCTCTCGGACAGATGATATTGTTGAAGTTGAGACCACCACAAATGTGGGCTATCCTGGTCGATGGGTCTTTCGTATTGATGATTCTCAGGTGCAAGTGGGCAGCTGCAATGACTCAGGTACACCACCAAAGGAAAGGAAAAAAAGAATCAGCGTATTCCAACAAATTAGAAAACATTATGGACAGTACAAATAGGAAAATATTAGTCTGCTCAGACTCTTTTCCATTGTCCTCCTCAGCGTCGGTCTGTGCTAACTTAAGGCCCTGTCAAAATGGTGGCCGTTGCATTGATGACTGCATCACTGGAAATCCCTCTTTCACTTGCTCGTGTTTGGCTGGCTTCACTGGACGCAGGTGCCAGATAGGTAAACCAATGATGAAATCCTTCCATCCCTCACAACCCGTACTCATCCTCTGTGTTCGTCCTCGCCAGGAAAGAGAAAGTCAGCTTGTAAAAGCAGAATTCCACCCTGCAAGCCAGGGGGACAACCTAAGGGAGAGAATTTCCCCTGGTCACATCTGTATGTAATATGCATACAGTAGAGTCCATCCAATGTTTTGCTGTGGTCAAATCATTACCTTTTCCTCCACCCCATGCACTTTAGGATTCCCTCATGTTTTCAGTCCTGTGTGCACATCTAATAAAAGTCACATGTAATATTTGTTGTTCTTTTGTGTGTTTTGATAGAAGTTGATGAGTGCTCATCATACCCCTGTCAGAATGGAGGCACATGTGTGGACAAGATCAACCACTTCATCTGCCTGTGTCCAGTGGGATTCATAGGGACAACATGTGAGACAGGTAAATACCAGATTCTTCAATTATTGGACTCCAATTTCAATTATGCATTATATGAAAGCGCAGGAAAAGAAAACAATTGCTCCAATATCAATAAGAAGCTTGCACTTCTACAAGGTCCAAAGAGGGTTTTTTCTCAAAAAGTTGTCCAATGAGCGAGTGAAAATGGATGTGAGTTTTGAACTCAGTAAGCTCTTCTTTTCGTGCTGTGGCCTCTCTCCTCACTGATTTTGTCCTCCCCTCCTCTCTTAGCACGCTGCTGGCTTCAACATCCTTCTCGTTCCCACAGTCCAGCCTGCAGAGATGTATCAAACCTCTAATACCTTTCACAGCCAGAAGTGCATAGTTTCAGAGTGAGGGGAACGGTGTGGAGGATATATTAATCAGCTGAATAAATATCCAGTGTGTGTGTGTGTTTATTGCCTGCAGACATAGACGAGTGCCAAGAGACCCCATGCCTCAATGGAGCACAGTGCATGCAGGGTGTCGGCAACTTCACCTGCGTATGTCAAGCAGGTTACATTGGGTTCCTGTGCGAGTCAGGTGAGTATGGATATTGGGAGTGTCACTGAAAGGCCATGACTTTCTCCAGGGAACATTTCCTTTTTTCCGCATTAGGCCCGCACTTATTCATTTGACAGATGGTGTTATCTAGACTGACTTCATGAAGACTGCTATAGTACAATACTTTTAAGGGCAGCTAGTAAATGGAAATATATTAGCAGTTACTTTGATTTATTTCCCTGTGTTTTCATTTTGGGTCAAGTTTTATGTTCCAAATATTCTGAGTTCTCTGAGCAGATCTTGATATGACTTTTTAGGGAAAAGCACTGACATTACAGCACTGTGCTTAACAAATTGGGCTTCCCACAATGGAGGTTACTGATGAAATGCAAGCCCAGTTGGGAAGTACTCTGGAAACTACCTGCTGGTCTTTGCATATATTGAACCCTTGTTTCAACATGAGACCAGATTACTGTTAATACTAGACACCCGGTCAATGAAACCATACACTTGCCTGAAATTTCATACATCTTCACATCTTAAGATATTGATAGAATCAAAACCAAGCTGCTCTAAGAATTGCCTTTCTCACACTGACAAATTACTCTCTACACTGACATTAATCTTGTGTTTTGGAATCCAGATATCAATGAATGTGCATCCATGCCATGTTTGAATGGAGGTGTGTGTGAAGACCTGGTGAATAACTACACCTGCACCTGTACAGCAAACTTCACTGGAAGCCACTGTGAGACAGGTGCGCTTTTACCCTTGAGTTCAACCCACCATATCACTTTATAAATGCCAGCCAACAACAAATTATCCAGTCTTTGTTTTTGTTTCCCTTTGCAATGGGAAAAATGTTTAATGAGAGAAGATGTTTATATTTGACTAGCTGTAACACTTTCCAACTGGGACTGACACAAAGAAATTGAAAAACAAATAGAGAAGAGGGAACACTCTGAGATAACTATGGCTTCAGACCACATGTCTGACTAATTGAACTGCAAATAATGTCAGCCTCATCTCATAGTTATTTGATGCCTGGTCAACTCTCGTCTGCTTCACTCCAGTATCAATAAGAAGCTTGCATTTCTCCAATGTCCAATGCTCTTAAAAAGTTGTCTAACTATGGTTTCAGATGACATGTCTGATTAATTTAACTGATTTCTTTGCAAATAATGTCAGCATAGTTATCAGATGCTTGGTCAACTCTTGTCTGCGGTTGAAGTGGCTTGACCAACCTCTTAAGAATTTTTATTTTTCAATGTGGTTTGGTTGCAGTTTCATGGGTTTGCCTTAATTTAATTTAATGTATTACATCATTGCTGCCCAAGTAATACCTACAGAATATACTATAAAGATTTATTTTACCCTAAAACAGAGTTAGTTGTCATGGAAAATTCCTCTACTACTGATGCTGCAAATCAGACAGCAATGTAAATGTTCTTCAAGTTCCTGCTAAGCTTTACCTCCCTTTCTTATTCTTAAAAGATCATCACACATACTGCACATAATATTTCACTTACAGTTCCCTGCGATGGAGAGAGTTGTGAAAAGCGTCAAATCTGCGAGTACATTGGCTCTGGAAACTACAACTGCACCTGCACCCCAGGTTACTACGGTGACGATTGTGAAGGTACAGTACTCTCTGACTTTAAAGGGATCATGAACTGGCTGTTTGATTTATTTTATACTGTTGTCTGAGGTTCACTTATGATGTTTGCGTGGTTTTTACATTCAAAAACATTAAAATCAATAAGTAATAGGCTATTTTCTACCCTGGTTTTGAGGCCGTTTTTATGGGCGTGCCGCATTCAAGACTTGGAAGCAAACGCCCACTGCTATGATTGGATAATAGTTTTGCATAGCAAACTTAGTAAACTAACTAACTGTGTCTGTTTCACAAGTTACATCCTTCATAGTTGGAGCCTTCTGTTACTTTGGTTAGACACGGACACATAATCAGGACATATCAAGCGATCTCTAACAAAGCAATAGTGACACACAATATTTTTTACTCACATAAGTGTGCTGTGCCATTCCTGTCGGATCCAATATAAACGGTACAGCAATGCTTTTTTAATCTCAGTCTCTCTGCAAATCAAGTGTCCACCTGTGTCTTGTTTACAAAGGAATCCGTGGTGAATGAACGCTCAATGTTTTACTCACGTGAGCTGAAACTTCATTAAAAATAAAGTTCAACCACGCATTCCTAATATTTGAATCCAAAGGAAGGTTATGCAGTGACTGTGTTCTTCCACAACAGTGGGTGAATCAGTGGGTGGGGTTTCAGAATTAGGCGTTGATATTTTTCTGTGGAGGCGGTGTTTAACCTATCTATTACGTCATAGGTAGACACCTTCCAGGATCTGGCGTTCGCTAGGCCTGGTGTCAATAAAAGCTTTTATTTCAGTAACAAGGACGTTTTCAGTTCTGAAACTTACAGGATATTCTTTTAGTACGATGGCCTCTTATAGATCAAAAGCTCAAGTAAAAGTTGATTTCTCAATTCATGACCCCTTTAATGCATAGTATCTACCCTCCTCAAGTAATTGGGCAGGAACATGGCACAGAGGAGAAAAGGCAGACACCACTATCCCACAGGAATTTGAAGCACTGCCTGAGGAAGACTATACAGTCGTGATGGATGAGCATAATTATCCAAACCTACACAACCTCACCCAGTTTACTGCTCAGACCTTCCAGCAAGTTGCTTGATGTTGTAAATAATTGTTTTATGGCACTTTTTTACTACTTTACCAACAAGAGGAAGGGCTCTTGTCTAGACTTTAAAGGCCTCTGTTTTATGAGACAGTCCAAATGGTTGGAATTCACTTCCCTGCAACAAAGCAGGTGAGATTTGTTTGGACGCTCTAACATCCAACCACAAATCTCCAAAGACTGATGATATGAGGTACAACATCCTCATATTCTGCTTTATCTTATTTATTCAATTCAGTCAGCTTGATATCCCTGCTCCCTGGGTCACTGTGTACACTAAACACTTTGTGCCCCTATAGATTTAAAAGCACATTGTGAGCTATAACAAATTCATCCTATTCTTCCACCTGGAGCTGAAATAACCATTGACTCTTATATAGACTCTCCTAAATCTCTAGAATACCTTCCTGCCTGGCTCACTTGGAATGTGTAGTGGAAAAAGTCATGCAGACCTCTCAAAAAGAGAAGGTAGAAGCTCACAGGCATAGCCTAGGAGTGTCTAATGGGGCACTGAGATCAAAGAGACCGACCTTATGAAACAACAAATGAAAATGGCTCCAGCGAATTAACAACCTATTAATTGCCCCTGAGTCACACAATTTGATCGAAAACATGTTACATATTATCAATTTATCAAAAATAAATAAACAAAAAAATAACACCCTCATGCAAGGCTCCTGAACTTCAAAAGGAATTAATTTAACAGTGATACAGCAAGTTGCTTTGATCCATTGTTGCAATTACTGAGGGAAGCGAAAAATAAAAATCTTACCAAACAGAAAGTGTTACAGAATTCTGACTTACAGTCATCCAGAACACTGAACTGTGTGGGAAAATTGTGGTAAAGACTGACCCAAGGAACAAGTTTATAAAGTACAACAGTACAACAAATCCCACCACAACATACTATGCTAAACTACGCGCGCGCACACACACACACACACACACACACACACAAACTCACACAATGTAACATTCCCACACATGCTTCCACTGAATTTACACTTTTTCCAGTTTGACTGATGTGAAGTAGGAGTAACATTTTACAGTGGTTTGAATGTTTTCTTATCCAGAAAAGTGAAAACTATGCTGACCTCCTTCCAAAAGTGTCTCTTTCTCCTCTCTTTACATCACACCTAAATCCCTACAGAGGAGTGTCCCTGTCAGAATGGAGGGGTTTGTGTTGATGTGAATGGCACCTGTGAATGTCCAACAGGCTTCACTGGACTCTACTGTCAGTTTGGTATGTATTAACTGCAAACAAATACAGATTTTTTTTCCCCAAAGACTTTATCAAACTAAAGGTACTGTATGGGATGTCCATTTTTATATGCAGTGTGTTTTTAGGACAATAATGCTAATTTATGATTTCTGATAAAACAGCTTCTCTTGTTTCTACTGTTTAAAGGTTACTTGAAATGCTGGTAGAAAATATACAGGTTCCAAATTCAGGAAGTGCTTTTTCATCATCAGGCCAAACACTTAGCATTACATGTCAGTTACATATCCGTTAAACACAAGTAATTGACAAGTGACTGTTGAGGAATTGTTCCGTCACCAAAGCTGTCCCACCACTAAAGAGTGGTTTCTCTGTCCTATGTACAGTTAGCTAACCGTGGAACAGTTTGTAATTATACAGTACTAAATTATGTATGAAAATTCACCAAATTGAGAACCATTTGGCCTCATGATGGAAAAATACTAAAAGTGTCTGTCAGTCAAAAGGTACATGCTTTATTGATTACCATAGAAAACTGTATCCATCTGAAGAGTGTGGCTCTGAACCTTTTATTCAATAAAAATATTTCAAAAGTAGTAGTACTGCACACATATTTGTATAACAATTAATATCTGTAATATTTTGTTTTACTCTTTAGAAGTAACACAAACCCCCTGTAGTAACAACAGACCGTGTCCGGATGGAGGTCCATGCTTAGAGTATGGTGGCACGTACCTCTGCACCTGCCAAACTGGTGTTGACTTTGATCACAAGGACTTCTACCCATATGGTAAGAGCCCTGGAGAAACTTGAAGCCATGTGCTAAGCATGGTTTCCATGACAAATGAACAAATACTGTGCCAGGTCCTCAGGATGGCAAAGGTCCTCAAAGCAGCTAAGGCATTATATTGAGTAAATGAGAAAAGAAAGATTTATTTGTATGCTGACAATGTGAAGATAATGTTTCAACTTGGCTATTGAAATGCACAGAGGATCTATGCTATGGTGTGCATTTAAATGAAATAATTACAACACACTCAAATAAAAGTTACTAGTGAACGTTAAAAGACGATCACCTGCTGTGAAGGAACATGGTGAAGGTGAAGGTGTGTGTGTTTTTCAGTACAGCCCCGATCAGCCTGTGATTCCTCACCGTGTCAGAATGGAGGGTATTGCTATGAGAGAGACGGAGGCTACATTTGTGAGTGCAAGCACGGCTACAGAGGAAAGCATTGCGAAAGAGGTATGTTACATCTGCTATCCGTGTTAACATTTTGTCCTTGCATGCTTACATATTAAAAGGTAGTCACATCCACAGAAGTTCAATCATTGTGCATCATGTTGTTTAAAGGCACAATATGTAAGATTTTTGTATTAAAATATCCAAAAACCACTAGAACAGTGTTATATATTTTGCTGACTTGTGTACTTACATTATCCCAAATGTTTCGAATGTTTAAATCCAGAGAAATAAGCAATTTTAACTAGTGACACGGGCTGTGTCTGTGGTGTCATTGTGTTGCCTGCCAATGACGTCATATACCCTCGATTTCCGGTTGTTTTGTAGAAAACATGGAAACACCAAAGACGCTTTAATATGTTATGCGTTTTATTAGTCCGGCGACGACCACACAGAGTAGCATTATAACAGAACTTTCAAATGTATCTAGTATGATAAAACAGTGCTGCTTTACCCCACATACTCACGACCGGAAGGAGCGGAAGCGGTAAAGTGTGGCATAATAAAAGCTCCGCTGCTTTCGAGCCATGTGTTGCGCTCGTTCAGCGACCTCGTTTCGCTTTGACGGCTTTCAGCCTCACTCTGTTTCATACTACGACGTTAATAAATCATTAACTCATCTATTAACATGATTTCTGCCCGAGTCCCGTCGGATTGCATCGGCTGTGGGGATGAAGACGACAACTCCCATGATTCCACACTCAGTCACGGCGTCATCAAACTACATCTTTGTTTCTTTGTTTGTTTTGAATACACGCCCTCTAGCGGTGAAAACTTACATATTGTGCCTTTAATGCACCACATATCCGTTTTGCAGAAGTAATTTCGCCTACTTGCTGGTACATACAGCATTCTTCCTTTTTTTTTTCCTCAGTCAGATTAAGTATCTGTGCCTCTAGTCCCTGTCGTAATGGAGGCTCTTGCAAAGAAGATGCTGACAGCTACCGATGTGACTGTCCCTACCATTTCACAGGGAAACACTGTGAAGTGGGTATGTGTTTAGTGTCAAGACAATTTTCTTGCAATATGTGGTTTTCTGGTGTGAATATAATTGTGTGGGAAATTTTGATGATGTTGTTTAAAGAGTCATATTAGTTTGATAAGCATAAAGGCCCTTTCATACCAAACATGTTACATGGGAAAATTTTGAATAGGAACAATGTATTTGTATTGAGTGATTCAAACCAGTTATATATTTGCCTGACAACAAAGCAGTGTTGTAGTTTTGGTCGATGAATTTTTCTTCGTCCAACTATGAAATGTTCCAGAGTTTTGGATCAAGTGTCTAGTACCACTGCAGAAGCAATATCAGCGCATTAAGTAGTGCTAATGTGATGTTGCCAGTTTGTACAGTTTGTTGTTTGATGTTCTCATTTATATATACATATATATATATATATATATATATATATATATATATATATATATATATATATATACATTATATACACTGAACAAAATTATAAAATTATAGCTTTAAGATACCTCTTCTTGAGTCCTGGTGTAATCATCTCCTCATCCATTATCATAGATGAGCCATTATATCACTGCTTATCTTTTCATTAATATGTCAGTTTATGCACATCAGGTGTGAGTGATTTAAGAGAAAGATGAGACATCAAGGTCAGTCATTGCCCAGATTAGTCATTGGTCCACAATGTAGTACTGGGGGTATTATGAATCCATCATGTATCTACAGTAGTCAGGAATAACTGAAGTCCTCAGTGCATTTGATACTCTCTCCCTGAACAGAGGTTATAACTCTGCTGTTACAGGCCTCCGTGTTACTGTTGATTCTACAAGGTTTTCCACAAGGTGCGGTTAAATTTGTGTCCTGCTGTTCCACGATAGGATGAAATACCATCACCTAAAACATTTCACAAAAAGGATGTTTTTACAGCTTCTCTCTATTTATGAATCTGCTCGTGGCTGTAAATGTGGCCATGTGTATTAGGTAAATTGAAACTGGTTGGTTCTTTATGTTTTCAGGAAAAGCAGTAATTTTTTTTTAAGAAAGAAACAAATATCTGTTGCTGCCACTGCTCATTTTGTTTTATAGTGTTTCTGACATTCTTTTTTGCAGTGTAGGGCTTTGTCACTGCGTTTGCTCTTTAAGTGTTCTAATTAAATTAAGTAACTAAATGAAATTCTTCAGCCTTAGTTGGATGAATTTGTTTCTCTCGGTTAGAATTGTTTGTGTGTTTCTGTGCATTTTATTTGTTTTTTAAATAACAAATAACTTATACATTGTAAAATACATTTATTTTAGTATCTAATATCAAAGTAACATTCATAAATATGATGTCATAATTTATCAGAAATAAGTCTTAAAATTGTTTAACAAACCTGACTCATTGCCAACAGTCTGTTTGTATATATTATTTGTCATAACTATTATAATTATTTCTAATAAAGCTGAGTTATTGTAAACTATATAAAACAACACTGGCATATTGAAAATTACTTTCATGCACACGGTTTGTGCACACTGCAGGTCTGGACTGTGGCCCCCCTGTGAAAGTCAAGCACGCAGAGGTGCAGTATTCCTCCACTACTCCAGGCTCCATGGCTTCGTATGTATGCCACCCAGGCTACACTCCCCTTCCAAGGGCCACCCAGAGCATCTGCAGCAGCCAGGGGTCCTGGAGCCAGCCTCCAGTCTGTGAAGGTTAGTGGAGATTCAAAACCCTTGTTGTTCAAAGTTTGCCCAAGACTGTCCCGCCCTGAAACCAACATTCCAAAATGGTTGGTTGGTTTGGAATGCTGGGAAGAAGAGCTGATGAGCCTACAAAATGTCAAACGAGTAGAAACACTCTAAAACAAATTGTAGTTTGAAACCAACATAACGTTTGTATAGCCTGTCAGGGTGCTAACAGAAAGTAGTCAGGCCTTGGTATACAGTTCAGAGTTTTTAAACACAAAACAATTCTGCGGTCTCTCTGTGGGACATAAAGCATGATGCTGCTCTGGCAACATGAGCTACTACATCATTTGTATCACATGAAATAAATAGGCCAAGTACACAGTGAGACAAGGACCTGGATTTCTGTTCATCTTGAGAACTGTTGTTAATGGACTTGCTTGAATATTGATTCATACACAAAACCATTGGGCTCTACAATAAGTGCTTCCTGATCAACAACATGCAGTATTATGCCTTGAACACAAAATGTGTCTATTTATGTAGTGTGTGTGTGTGTGCTTCAGGATTTGTTTATATGTGTGTGTGTGTGTGTGTGTGTGTGTGTGTTTTCAGGTTTTGTTAAATGCTTATCTGGTCCATGTACTAGGGGATTTGTACATGAATGACTCTCATCATCCTCTTTTTTTTCCAGAGATAAACGAGTGTTTGTCTCATCCATGTATGAATGGGGGAACTTGTCGTGATAGGGTAGCCTCCTACCTGTGTGAATGTGAAGATGGTTTTACCGGCCAGCGCTGTCAAACAGGTAGCACGCTGCATATCTCTTGCTTATTCTTCATTCTTTATCTTATGTCATATTGACATTTTGATATTAGAGATTTTGACACCTCATTGTGCAAAACCTGGCTTAAGTTCAGATTTCTGTGAATGTTTTGACAGACATTGATGAATGCCTTTCTGAGCCATGTAAGCACAGAGGTACGTGTGGTGATCAGCCTGGCTCTTACTTCTGTCACTGCCAGCAGGGCTATGCAGGACAGGACTGTGAGATAGGTAACATCATCAGGAATATGTTCACTACTATTAGGGTTGCAAAGGGGTGGAAATTATCCGGTGAACTTCCGAAAAGTTTCAAAAAATGTTGCAACCCTGACTACTTTGACTTGTGTTTTGATGTTTTACAGCCTAGAATCACAGTGGACTTAATTTGGCTTTTTTCCCCACTGATCAACAGAAAAACACTCTTTCAAAATGTGATCAACATGATCTTAAATAAATACAAAAAAGTCAGAATTGAAAAAAGAAAACAGAATGGTTCTCATAAGTTTGACAATCTTTTAATATATGACTAAATCACTGAGGCAGCCAGTAAAGTATATCCAAGCCACTGTGGCACAGATGATCTATGTCTTCAAAACGGAGTGGCAATGCAGAAGGAAGGCCACTGACAACTCTGATGAAGATACAAGATTTAGAACAAAACAAATGATCAAATCTGTGCAGATAACTGTTACCCAAATGCTTCTGAGTACCAGTCACAGTTTTATGGGTGAATGGCAAAGAGAAGCCATTATTAAAAATGTCATAGGACAGCTCTGCTACAGTCTTCTAGAAGGCATGTGGAGACTTCCACCAGCTAGAAGGTTCCATAGTCTGATTAGACCAAAACTGAGTTTTTTTGGCCAAGTTCACACTGTGTATAATCAGAAACACACCTTCCCTAATTTGTGTAAAACATGGAGGAGATCCTTCTCTGCAGAATGTCTAAAAGACTTGATGAAGGTAAAAGATAAAATGAATGCAGCAAAATACTCAGAAATAAAGAAGAAAAAACCTGATGGAGTCTGCAAGACACCTACTAGGTCGGCTTGGAAAAAAGCCGTCTCCATGTAACCTGAATGGGGAAAAACTGCAGTGGCACTTGAATACTTATGCAAAACATTTGTTTGTGCCTAATAACTGTAATAACCAATCTGCAAAAAAAAATAAAAATTCATTTTGGAATGAAAGAATATTTGTCTGTTAATCAGTGTCAAAAAAAATCCCAGTTAAACTATCTGTGACACTGTAAAACATCAAAATAGTTTTTCTTCATTTTCCAGCTTGTATCTGCAACTGTTTTTGTCATTCTGTATAATCTGCTTTCCCCTTTATTCTGACTTACAGTACATCTGATTTGATACACAAAACACTTCACACCTACTTTATCTCCTACAAACAGCCCACCTCTCAGAATGAAGGATTTTCCATCTTATGATACAGATGTGTGTGTGTTCTGCAGAACAGGATGGATGTGAGCCAAATCCTTGCTTGAATGGAGGTGTATGCCGAGGCTACAGGAGGAATCACCTGTGTGTGTGTAAAGAAGGTTATGTTGGAGACCGCTGCCAGACATGTATGTTAACCATTATTAAATATTACTCCTGAAAAAGTGCACAATGCATCACAAATAAACAAGAAGTATTACAATTGCAGTTGACGTTGTTGCTAAGACTGAATTTCTTGCTTTTATATTGTTTGTCTATTTTTTTAAGATTACCTGGTGTTGCTATACTTTAAAAAAAAATGTTTATAATAATAATAGACCTGGTGAAGCTATTTGGCCAGGCCCATCCTACGTGCAGAAGCATTTGAAACTATGGGGGAAAAAAGTTGCCTCTGACAAAAATAAGTCTGCCTTCTGCTATGTTAAACTGATCTGAATTCATCAAAATTCTCACAAACGTAAAATATTTTTCTTGATGTGAATACAATTAAAATCATCAGTTAAATCTGTGTACCCTTCCACTTTCTGGAAGTCTGAGGTCGTTATATTAGTTCTGTACCTGTCAGATATGTAAGGTCTCATCTGGTCCTCTGTTGCCGTCTAGTGGAGAACCCGTGTGTCCTGCAGCCGTGCGGAAACCGAGGTGTCTGTTGGAGTGATAGAAGGGGGAACTACAGCTGCGCCTGCAGGGTGGGCCACACAGGGAGAGACTGTGAGAGAGGTCAGCTCCTGATCTTCCATTATTCAAAATCAACCCATATGCATTCATTTTATTTAAGTGGAGACTATTTAGAAAGTAACTAGAATGGAATTCAGAGTTTGTGTGTTTTTACTGGCAAAGTGATTTGATAACTTGCTTCCAGGGAAGTTATTAATTATTCAGAGACATGGGAAGTTTGTTACTTGTTACAAACTTAAAATATATGCATTCTTTGGTCTGTATTTGGTATGTATGTATTGTGTTCATAACAAATGAAATTTCCTTTCATAGTTTAGAGAAGTGGTTTTCAATTAATTCCAAGCGTTAATTCCCCATTGTCCACAAGAATATTTGAAGAGCCCCCATGTAGGCTAATAGGTTTCCACATATTACATTAAGTAACTAAAATAATTATAATTAAAAAAATAATTAATTTTAATAAATGTCATAATTACAAAAGTTTTAATAGCCGAATGTTCTTCAGGGATCCCACTTATTTAACCAATGAATTTACATGATGTTTCCAGTTGTTCGTGATTCATTGTTTGAGTGATTTATTTATTTTACTCACAATTTCTACTCGATAAAATATTTTATAGCTGTGCATAGCTAGAAACATATTAATGCTTTCATAAAATCTTAAAACACCATGGGTATTTTATCTAGAAATCACTTTTAAAATTAAGCTACCTCATACTTCAAAGAAATAAAAATCCTGATGAGGGGGTGAATTAAAATAAGAAATGTGTTTATTTTAGTTGTTTTAACTAACATAAATGCTTGTTTTTATTTTTAATAATTTTAAGACATCTTGGGGCCACTTTGGAAGTTTGCTGAGGTCCCCTAGCGGGCCGCAGCCCACTAGTTAAGAATCACTGGTTTAGAGGGTAATTGAGTTATTTATAGCTAATACTTTCACTGTTCCCAGACCTGTTGCCTCCATCTGGCCTGCATGTGTTGCGGGTAGAAGAAAATGAAGTTGAGTTACGATGGGATCAGTCAGATGCCACTCAGAATTTAATCAGCGGCTTTGCAGTTGCCTTTGCTCCTATTGGTCGTGGGCCGAGGAAGACAGACTACCTGGAAAAGCAGCATTCTACCTATGTACTACAGGGCCTGAACCCCGGACAGCTTTACAACATCTCCACCTTCTCCGTCAAACGCAACACCAACAGCAATGACATAAGCCAGCCAGCTTTCGCTCTCATCCGCACTAGTGAGAGCTCCCAATTTTTCTTCTGTACCTACATGGTGATTATGTCATATCTGTTTCCTTAGCACAGTGTGACAGCAGGATTGCAATATGTTTATTAAATTTTTTTTTTTTTTTTTTTTACACGTTTATTTGTTTTGGTCCTTATTATTTTTCTACATTTTTACACAATAATAGTGCTAAACTAACATGTACATGTAGAGTATTCACTCACATACTCTTCTCCTGCTCTGTCTCAGGGCCACATAAGGTGGAACAGCTGGAGGTAGTGAATGTGTCGTCCTCTCAGGTTTGGCTGCGGTGGCTGGTGCATGTTGGCCGCCATGCTGCGGTCAGTCAGGTTCGGGTGTCCCTGGTGCCTGCAGATGGTAGTGGACCTCGCACAGCTGTGCTCAATAGCAGCGTCACAGAGTACACCTTTAGGTCAGTCATGACACCGAACAAGGTCAGCACATACACGCAGAAAAAGAAAACACAAGTCTGCATAGTCTTAAGAGAATGATCTTGTAATTTGCCCATCTAGTCTAGGCTTCAAGTGCAGTCAGAAATGTCATATTCACAAGTTCTGAGCACATATTTAAACATTGTTCCCGCTTTACCGTGCAGCCAAATAATGTCATAATAATGAATCTCTGGACCTAGAAGTAGGAGTTTCCGAAAGTGCACTTGAAGGCAGCATGTGTAAAGTGGATACCAACACATTCTAACACTTGAAAATGTGAATCTTTAAACATTTGCACAATGGGTAGCAATCTTCTGTCTTGTAAGAACGTTTGCCTGCAATACATGTATTAGCCACTAGATTAGACACAATAACGTCTACTGCGTGCCTGTATTTTTCGGGGCAGAATAATAGTAAAGAAATGCACAGCTCAAAATAATTTAAATATACTCTTTAAAAAGTGTTCACGACATGTGAGTACATGATGACAGAATTTTTGGTTGAACTTAACTAGACAAAATTGAATGAGCTTGGTAATTACTTACCACAGAACGGAATAAAACTATCATGGGTTCCACTCTTACGTTAACGTGGAAGAGTGGTGTTTTCTTTAAAAAAATGTATAAATAAAAATAATAATAAATAAATAAATAACAGTTAGTTTTATTCCTTTCTTGGTGCGAGTCGGTTCTGCAGTGATAACTTTTTAATTGTGCCAAAGCAGCACGGCAATTTTGGCGGCAGTTTGAAAAAACAAAAGTGGCAATGCAGAAGGAAGGCCACTGACAACTCTGATGAAGATACAAGATTTAGAACAAAAAAAATGATCAAATCTGTGCAGATAACTGTTACCCAAATGCTTCTGAGTACCAGTCACAGTTTTATGGGTGAATGGCAAAGAGAAGCCATTATTAAAAATGTCATAGGACAGCTCTGCTGCAGTCTTCTAGAAGGCATGTGGAGACTCCCACCAGCTAGAAGGTTCCATAGTCTGATTAGACCAAAACCACAAAGACCAAAGACCAAAAAAGTTTTTTTGGCCAAGTTCACACTGTGTATAATCAGAAACACACCTTCCCTAATTTGTGTAAAACATGGAGGAGATCCTTCTCTGCAGAATGTCTAAAAGACTTGATGAAGGTAAAAGATAAAATGAATGCAGCAAAATACTCAGAAATAAAGAAAAAACAAAACAAAACAATAAAAAACAATCACCTTTTCTATTTTGTAAATGCATGTGAGAGCTCCTCTGTGAACGATTGATCCATGTATCATTTTTAAAGTTTAAAGATTTAAAGTATAATATTATTATTAATAGGCCAATTATTAACATTTAGTAGGCCTATTTAACATAATGTTTCAATGTGAAATGTTGACAATGTTCTTTTCATAAGCTTAGCTTTAATGAAATAGTTTGCCCCAAAATGAAAATTCTCATTATCTAGCCTACCTGGCTGTGACAAATAAGATAAATATTTTTATTTTTATTCTTCTCTTTTTTTAGGTACATAACCCTAAATGATGTAAGAAAAAAATATAATGCAGGGGTTTTTTTTTACTAAAACCGATATAACATTTTTCTTTTAGCCAAAAAACACAACCAAAAATAAAGTTTCAGTAATTAAATATGTGTAATTTAACTCTTCAGGGTGCCATGTTCTCAGGTGATACAGACCTTAGTCAGATTAGACACCATATTGAATTTAGCGTGGATCAAAAACAAGGCTATAAGTAATAGACAGTCTTTGCAATGGCACTTCAATCCCTCACAGCCTCATTTTCATTCCTGTCAAAATTAAATATGGCGCTACTCTTGACTAAGGTCTATTAAACCAATCATGGTACATTTCTTTTGCAACAAGCCACCTCTTGAGATTTCAGGCAAAGTAATTTTACATAGGCTAACATCATTTTTGGTCATAGCGAAGTGTGTACACCCTGCTGACATGTTTACCTGTTGTACTTTATACACGTATGTGCACGTCACCATTTAAGCCAATGATTTCAGCCTTCCAAAATAAATTCTGAATTTGAATTTTTGATGTTTCTCATTTCTGAAAATTTGGTGCATCACTACATACAATTATACATGATCACTGAGTGAGATCTGAGATCACATAAAGGTTTAAAATATGCAAATGAAAAACACATATTTTACTGATTAGTTGTGTGTAACCCACAGCACATTGCTCCCAGGTCAGATGTACACAGTAGATGTAGTCACGCAGAGTGGTTTGCGCCCTGAAGACCTACCATCAACTAGCCAATCTGCTGGGCCACTGCACTTCTGGACCAGTGAGTATCTCTTCAGCTCTGTGTTACGAACACATGCACCTCTGTAGTAAGTAACAGCACATTATATTGTTCTCTCCATCAGGACCGCTTCCACCACAGAACCTTTCACTCTCCCACATCACCACCACCTCTGCTCGAGTCACATGGGACCATCATCCTCGGAGTCTTCCAGATGGTTTTGTGGCCAATATTACTCGAGGCCTGAGCACCCGTAGCCGCTACCTACCTGATGGAAGTTTAGGGACTTATACACTACGAGACCTCAATCCAGGACAACATTACCATCTTGCCCTCACTGCTGTACGCAAAATGGACCAGGACAACATTCAGAGCGTCCCTCAACACCTAGCCTTCACCACACGTGAGTCGCCGATATTTAAGATGACTGCTTGTCTGCAGATTGTCAAGATGTCTTTGTCATTGTGACACATCTTTGTATCCTGTATTGCACAGTACCAGTTCCAAAGGACCAAAGCAGCGGTGACAGACTTAAAGGAGGACAGGACTACCAGATAGGACAGACCTTGACACAAGTTCAAGATGGAGGCACAGATGACCACACAGAACTCCTTGAAGAGCCCCAAAGGTATAGTACCATATAAATGCAACAATGCAATTATAGATGCTATGCTGGGAAGCCATGCGAAGAATAATGAGTTCTGTGTGTTTGTTTTCTCTTTCAGATATACAGAGCTTATTGACAGAAGAGGGAGAATTACAGCTAAATTTACCAACCTTCCACATAAAACCATCAGACATCACACAAGTCAGTAATTATTTCATATATAATGGTAATCCATTATGAATTTTAAGTTATGTTGTTTTAAATCATTTTAGATGAACAAATCTGTAAAATAAATAAATGTGTTGTATTCAAGAAGTTTTTAAAGTGAGAAACTTGAGAAAAAAAATAATTTTACAAAATGTTTTCTAGGGTTGTCAAAGCTAACATTTTAACTGAGGATAATAAACAATCATTTTTAGAACATTTGCCACATTTGATATTATAAATATTATTATTATTCATTCTCCTAAAGACAGAAATCAATTAGATTAATTGTGATTATATTCATTAGTTTTAAAGGTGACATATCATGAAAATCTGACTTTTCCAGGTTTTAAGTGCTATAATCAGGTCCCCAGTGCATCTACCAACCAAGGAAACGTGAAAAAGATTAATTCAGTAACTTTGTTTTGGGAAGCCTTTTTCTGCAAGCGTCTGAGAAAACGAGCGCGTCTGATTTCGCTCCCTTGGTGACGTTGCAAAGGGATCTCATTATAACATTACAAGTCAAGTCAAGTCTGCTTTATTGTCAATTCTTCCACATGTACAGCACATACACACAGAGAATTGAAATTGCGTTACTCTCAGACCCTTGGTGCACATGATGGGGGCCGGGGCTCTGGCTCTTCTTAGTTTGCGGAGGAAGTAGAGACGCTGCTGTGCTTTCTTGGCCAGTGCTGTGGTGTTGTCAGCCCAGGAGAGATCCTCTGTGATGTGCACACCCAGGAACTTGGTGCTGCTCCCCCTCTCCACAGTCACACCATCTCCAGCTCTGAAGGCAGCGTTCCGCGTCTTCAGGAGTCCGTAGACCTCTCCTGTTAGCCACGGCTTCTGGTTGGCCCGGACAGTGATTTTCTTTGTGACTGTTACATCATCAATACACTTGGTAATGTAGGCAGTGACAGTCTCTGAGTACTCCTGGAGGTCTGTGGTGTTATTGTATGTTGCAGCCTGCTTAAACATATTCCAGTCAGTGGTGTTAAAACAGTCTTGAAGAGCCTCTGACGACCCTTCCGGCCACACTTGTATCTGTTTGTGAACTGGTTTGGTGACTTTAACGAGTGGTCTGTATGCAGGCATTAGCATGACAGTGATGTGGTCTGAGGCACCGAGGTGGGGGAGGGGGAGGGCCTTGTAAGCTCCTCTCTGGGTGGTGTAAACAATGTCTAGAATGTTGTTTCCCCGAGTTGGAAAGTTTATGTGTTGGTGTATTTTTGGGAACACACTCTTTAAGTCTGCGTGGTTGAAATCCCCAGCCAAGATGAGAAAAGCATCAGGGTGGGCTGTCTGCTGCTCACTGATGTGCTGGTAATCAACACCCCTTAATCTGTAAGTTTCCACATTGGTGCCGTCATTGTGTTTTCGCAAGCGACAATGGTGTACCAGCTCCAATGCCATGGCGAAAGTTTGAGTAAAGCATGCTAACTGTTCTGCCTTTGGCTGCACAGACGAGCACAGAACACTATTTAGAGTCCCAGCCTTAGAGGAGACAACAGAGCAGTGGATTTATTGATTTATTTAATGTATATTGCTGCTGCCACACAGATCTAAAATAAACATGCAATTTATTTTCCAGCTGTTTACTTTCACAGACATAACCGACTGTTTTTGTAGCTCATGTGTGTTTTTAACCTAAACTTGTGTTTGAATGAGAACTTAGTTTAGTACTCACATGCTGTGACAGCCGCTTTCTGTCCGTGTCCTCTCAGAAAAGATATATCAGAAGTTTAAACTCATGATTTCAGCGATAAACATGATAATCAGAACCATAACAGATGTTTTTAGCAGGTACGAGCTATAATGGTGCAGCTCTATTCTGGAAAAAGAGGGCGGGGAGTAGCAGCTCATTTGCATTTAAAGAGACAGGCCCGAAAAACAGCGTGTTTCTGCTTCCACTCAAAATAGGCATTTTCAAAATGATATAATCAATTATCTGTGTAGTATTTTGAGCTGAAACTTCATTGACACATTCTGGGGACACTAGAGACTTATATTACATATTGTAAAAAGGGGCATAATGTGTCTCCTTTAATGTTACTGAATGTGTGTATAGGATACACTGTTAACATTACAAAGTAATTATTTTTCAGAAAATATTTTAATAATTTGATGTGGTTTTAGTAGCCTACAATGTACTTCAAAATGAATGTCAATTAATGCATTTTGGGGAAAAAAGAAAACAAAAAAAGCAGCTTAAAGCAACATAATATGGTATTAACAGTATTATGCTTAACATTTTTTATAAAGCGTAAATGGGTCACTATATATGAGAATACTGTATAAAAATTTTACTTTTACTGTCTTATAATTTTATGAAGGGGTCCCTTGCATAAACAATTTTAAAACCCTTATATTTAGTTTTTATTTAACTTTTACATTTCTGCCATTGTCTCTTTTAAACAGAGCCTGACGCTCCAATCAAATTAGAAAGGATGGAAGAAACCACCAATAAGATTAGTCTAGCTCTGGAAATTCCTGAAGATGCGACAACGAGTAAATCTGGTAGGTGATCTTTCAATAAAACTCCATAAAGTTTATTATTAGACAAGTGAAAATTGTTGATTAACTTTAGACAGGGAGTACGTGGTTCTTAAAACAGGAGAATGTTTTAACAGTTGGTGGTATTCAAACTCTCTAATTGGTCCCAGCTGAGAGAGAGAGACTGTGGCAAAATACCACTGCATGTATTCTGAATAGTCTTCAGCATGACAGTCACCATAAACAAACCACATCTATCACCAATCTGTTATGGTTTCAGCCCCCCAAAAACATGTCACTTATGGCTGTTTAAAAAAATCATATTTATGTGCATGTGATTGTGTATTTAAAAGAGCAGCTAAATAAACCCAAACATGAAAAAGCTGCAAGCTCGCCAATGTTTAAACTCATCATGTAGCAAAGCATTGTGTTTATGTGTTTGTATCCAAAAACATTTCATTAAATTTCAGAGTCATCCCAAGACTGCAGAACTCAGCCCTGCCAGAATGGTGGAACATGTGCGCAGATCAACGAGTCGTTCAGCTGCAACTGTGCCGCTGGTTTCAAGGGCAGACGGTGTGAGCTATGTTAGTATAACCACTTCTGTTCATTCACAAGCATACAAACACACACTAATGAATCCCTAATAAATGCCAAACTGAAGAATTAAAATTGAGTTTATTTATTATTATTTTAGTTTATTATTTATTTATTTATTATCCCACCACCTAGATATGTGCAAGTACCAATAGGGACCCTTCAGGTACAAATGTGTAGCTTTTTTTTACTGCCCCAAGTGACAGCTTTTGTACCTTTTTTTCTGCAGAAATGCAAATAGCAATATGTCTATAGATATATTTATATACAAAATACTATCATGTTCTATAAAAAAGTGCATACGTATAAGGTTGAGAAAGCAGAGACCAGCTCAGTGCAAGAGACAAGGTGTGCAAAGAGAACAAAATCTTAGAAATGATAACTGGGATAAAGTCTATAATGAGCTTTATGATGCTTTATGATATTACAAACAACTATTTGCAATTTAAGGAAACAAACTGATACAAAGGTTCTTGTACATCCATCAAAGATTGATCAAATATTCATTCTTAGTGATATCATTAGAGAAATATAGTCATAAAATAAAAATCAACCTTAATAATTTAAGTTCTTAATGTGATATTATTATTAATTTCAGATATATTATGTTTGAGATGATATCTTCAGTCTTTTTCAGGTCACAGATCCCTCATTGTATATTCAATAAGAGCTATTTTAATATAGCCTTTATTACATATACATTTTTATGGCTGCATTTTAAAACAATCAAAAAGAAAAAAAAAAACAATATTGATGTACAGAGTCACATTATACGTTTTAATGTGGGAGATTGTTACTTTTGTTTCTTAACTTTCACTTTGGTTTAAGTTAACTTGATATAGCATTTTTCTTTAACGCATATAATGCGTTTAATATTTCAGGACAAATTTGTTTGAGATCAGACGGGTTCAGAAAGCAGTAACTGGCGTAGGCAAAAGCTTACAGTTGTCACCAGTGTTGGGGAAAGTTACTTTTAAAAGTAATGCGTTACAATATTGTGTGACTCCATAAAAAATAACTAATTACGTTACTTAGTTACTTTTTATGGAAAGTAATGCGTTGCGTTACTTTTGCGTTACTTTTTAATTCTGGACAGGGCTTGCTTGTTTGTTTTTAAAATAAAAAAGTTATATTTTTGCCAAATATAAAAGCCTTTTCACACCAAAAGTGAAATGAATAAGCCTCAGGCTGAAGGAAATGTAAATGTACGTCCGTACAGTAGAATGCAGAAGAAGACATTTCAACACACTTTAGCAATAAAAACACACACAAATGTTGTCTAGAGTAATTTTTGCTTATTAGTATGGTTGAACTGGATCATCGAAGGACAGAAGCAAAGACATTGGTTAACAGAATGGGATTAAATACATAAAGGATATTTGTGTTGTTTAACATTTAATTATTGCAGATTTGCGTCATATTCTGTTGCATTATTTTTATTCATTTTGAGGAATACTGAATCTGTGTTTTTTGTGAGTGAGATGAATTAATGCATATTCATATTTATTTTAGATCTACAGTAACATCTTCTGATTTCTCTCAGCATGGGGACAGGAGAGCTGTCAATCAATCAATTGGGAAAAAAAAGTAACTTGCGTTACTTATTTGAAAAAGTAACTCGGATATTCTCTTGTAAATTAAAAAGCAATGCGTTACTTTACTAGTTACTTGAAAAAAGTAATCTGATTACGTTACTCTTGTAATGCGTTACCATCAACACTGGTTGTCACCTGTCTGTATTATTATTACACCAAACCTAGGAGCGCGCCCGTAAACGTCCGTGCGTGCGCGCACTAGTTTTAAACCGTCTGCCTCCCCCCAGCCGGCCGCCCCCTTTCTTCAATGAAAACTGAGATTGCGGGGGGTGGAAAAGACCATGAAAGGACAGAGCTGGACAGAGACACTTTTAAGGGCTGTTTGTTTGGGGTAGTGTTTGTGGCTTGTCCCCCGACTTTTTATTTTAAGAAATAGAAGCTAAGGACTTTCTCCCAGGAGAGATACAGCGCTTTAACAACGTCCAACTGGTCCCGCTCGCGCCCGTGCGCTCACTCAGATTGAGCGCGAGCTAACAGAAGTTAGCTGGACGGCTATCGGCGGCGGGTGAGGGGGACAATACGGAGAGGCGAGAGGGGTCGACAGAGAGCGCCGTCGTCCAACCTAGTAGCATGTCACCCTCGGGAAGAAGTAACTCAAGCTTTGGATGAGGTTCCGTGGCGCAGTTCGATCGCAGAGACTTTTTGACGTGACGGTGGGTTGGGATGTTTCTGTCAGCGCGGGGCTCTGGTGGAGGCGCGGCGTCGGCGGTGTCCCGGGGTTGGCCGCATACGGTACTGTGGAGACTGGGGGGTTTCTTTCTCCTCCTGCTTCTCGAAGGGGCCCGTTGCCTCGCCAACCCGAGCAACGCGCCGGGCATAAACAATAACAATAGGCCGAATATGAACGTCTTCATGAGCGAGGAAGAGGTCAAGAAACTCTTGGGTGCGTATACTTTATTTCCCCGTCTGCTCTGCTCAACTATGTTCCTGCCCTATCCAAAGTTTTGCTTGGATCCAGAAATTGTTGCCACTCTGTCAGGTTAACTGTATTTGCTTCTAACTAAGTACTAAAAGCTATCTCGTGTGTCTGTCTAGTGTCCAGAAGTACACAAGTTGTTTTAAACATGCTCACAAACTGCTGAAACTTTGTTGGTTTAGCTCTCCATATGTTAGCTTTGATAGGCCAAACAATCCGCAGCGTCCTTGTAACCTCTAAATAGTCAGCTTCTGCTTAAGAAAAGCGTTAATATATGTACAGAAATGTTACAAAATGCACATGTGAAAGTATTTTTATGAGGTTATACTTCAGCAAGCTATTTAAGAAAAATCAAAAGCGATTGGGTTTGTCATTAGATCGAAAGTGGTTGCTAGAAAGTTTTCCAAGTGTATTCCAAAGCTTTACATGCTTGTGATAGGAACCGTAATTGTGTGGTGATTTGATTGTAAGGTCTATATCACACACATGCACAAGATACAGAGCAGAGGTGTATGAGCTGATCCGAGTCATTCATTGGCATTGTGTGTCAGAATTAGTTAAAACAAAAGTCGCACAATGGATTTTTCTCTTTCTGCTTTGTGTCAGGCCTGTCAGAATCAGAGCTTTTTATAACAGTATAACAGACTAACTTGCATAAAATACATTGGTGTCACTACCTCCCAATAATATGTCAAAGTTTTGTAATTTTAATTTTGGGGATCAAAAGATATAATGCAATACAATGTTGATTGAGAGATGTACAAATAACTTTCCTCAAAAGCCTGTTGATGCTCATATTTTTACACAATGTTTTTCTTATGTGATATAGGCTTTAGGGTTAAGTGTAAAATGAGAGAGTGTGTATTTTCATACATTTTTCATACTCTTGTAATCCTAATGAAAAACTATAGGTATATGTATTTATGCAGTTAATTAACAACATCTGATTGTTGATGTGTTTTGTTTATGACTTAATGGCTCTGCCTAAAATGTAATTTTTTTGCAGAATATAGTCCTCTTTCCAGACTAGGGGCCAAACCAAGTGTTTTGTACTCTGAATAATTTAATGCATTCATGGTTCTTGAAGAAAAAAAGGCTTTGTGATGCGCTTGCTGTGTTTGTATTCAGAGTGGGTTTTTGATTCAGCACCACTGTGCTTAATGCAGTGAGAACTGATTAGTGATTGTTAATTGCTGGGTATTTGTGACTGGGCCTATAAGCAGTCATTATCATTGCTAATGTCACAGCATAGTTAATGCAAGGTTTGGGGGCTGGAGCATCAATTTCCTGCTGGAAAGAGGAAGCGGAGACGAGGGCATTTTAGAGAAGCCTTGTTTGAACTTGTTTTGAGGGTTTACCCTTTCAGCTTAAATTGATAGCAATTTCTATTAGACTAAAAATAAAACAAATTAAATGTGGCATTTATGTAATGTGATGCAAATGCTGTAGCATTTAGCTTGAAAGCTTGAACTTTGAATGTTGCCATATGGAGTATAAGGTTTCAAGTGATGCAGTACTTAAACTTTTTACATTTGAATGCTTTGAATTTTGTAAAGGATGTAACCTAACCATATGTTCAAGACGTGTCTGTGGTGGTTATGGTCAGCGTTTGAGCAGTGTTGGTATATCAGTGGCTAATGCTGATATCTCGAAAGAGAACTTGAACTTATTGTACATAATATTTTGTTTAAATTCACCAAAGGTAGTTAAAATGGAAAGGGTTCTCTCTGAATGTTGGCAACAAGAATCCAAATATGAAGACGCTGTGCAGGCTTATTTTAGCTTTTTAGTAATGCGAACAGGTTTGAAAGATGATTTTCCCCTGGTCTTATACCTTTGTATCCCTCTTTAAAGCTGACCTGCACACACACACACACACACACACATATATATATATATATATATATATATATATATTCGTAATGAGACTCATTTATAAATCTGGTCTTCCTGCGTGTTTCCGCCGAAATAAAAGTTGTGAAAAATCAAGAACTCTTATCAACATTCATAAATGTTAGTATTGTAATTTTACTGTTCTTCTGTAAAATAAAATAAAAAGCAAGACAATAATAATGATAATAATCATTACAACAGCTCTGTTTTAATACATTTATTATAACTTTCACACATAGTGTTCAAATTAGGATCTGTAATATTTTCTAATGTTTTAAAACTTGCTTCTCAGCAAGGCTGCTTTTAATTTGAACAGTAAAAAAAAAACATGCCTGATTCAAGATGGCCAAAAATGATTATTTTACTAACTTATTAATTTTAAGTTAAATTGTGCTTTGTTGGTAGAATGTTAAAACTGTTCAGTGTTAAATATTTTGAAATTGTTGTTTTGTAATTGATTTTTTTTTTTTGAAAAGCAAGACAAAACAATAAAAAGCACATTTTGGCTTTTTAATTTATGCAATGGTGAATTTTATTTTATTTTTTGCAAAATACATGGGCAACCCTCTACATTGTGAGTAAATCACTTGCATATGCGACTAAATCTTCACTCTGGGCGACTAAATGATGTCTAATATTAGCCAATGGCTAATAAATTCTCAGATTTTACTCACCAGTGTGTGAGTTGGAGGCTGAGTGTATGATTAGCACAGATATATTTTCACTCACAGAACACACTGACTTAGCGCTTCAGAGTTTCACTCTCCGTCAAGCGATCTGTGATATTTTTCAGTTCATATGAATGGATGTGCAGCGCACCTGTGTTTGTGTATTTGGCGTAACGTAAACTCTAGTGTGAAGGCGCACGTCTCGCTGATGCTTTTTCTCACACGCGCAAAGAGAGAGAGAGAGATAGAGAGAGTGTCTTACATAACATGCAGAATTGATGCGCTACATGTAAACGATATTCTTTGATGTATTTTCCAGTCAAAATAACGGAGTTCTATTGGAATCACTGTTGCCAACTCTCACAAGATAAATAAGCAACCGCAGCTTAAAAAAACAAGCCCAAAAAATCATCAATATTATTTATTATCAATTATTTATAACCAATAAATGAACCTGCAACATATTAAACTGAAAACACTCTTTTATCTGAAAAGTAAAAACAGATATGTTATTTTACAAAAATCAGCCATGTAAACGATATACTTTGTTGTATTTTCCGATATACTTTGTTGAGTTCCTTTGGAATTCTTCAGCTTTTAAGAACTGCCGGGTTTTCCTAAAGTAGGCGGAAGTAATTCGCAAACGACAATCTAATTGGCTGGCGCTCACCTAGTATCGGCCCTGTTTGATTGCAGCGAATCAGTTCGAGCAAACGCACACAAGCTGATTAATATTCCTGAATCCAGTAACTCATTAATCCCTAGTGCGTTTTTATATTGTTCTTATTCGTAGAA